TCTGTATTTTTTTTAAATGGTGTATTGTAAAGAAAATGACCCAAATGAAATCCTCCATTGTTCTGACCGAACTGCAGCAGGTTTCCTTGCTTTGTTTCCACTGGCCACAACTTTCAGTTTCTTTCTCTAAACACAACTGCACCTGGTCCTACACTTACTAAATTCTAATTCTGAAGAGCTATTCTCTTCCAAACGCATTTTACATACATAACTTCAGTCTTAAATGCCTCTGCTTATCTGCAGAAATGTCTTTCAAAGCACAGTGCACAGGCAATAAGGGAAACAACAACTGGAATGAAGACATCAGCCTCTGAAAGCCAGGACAACTCTTCTAGTGGAAATGGATTCTCCCACCATCCTAAAATTGGGGCTGTTTGCTTTGATGAAGACAGTCTATAAAACCTGATGGCCCAGAGATCTGACCTGACCTCAGCCACATGTCCCTCAAACCCACCCAACCACAAAGGAGTCCCAAAGTGACTGACAGACCCTGAGGCCACAGCCCCATACACACACCAACAGTCATCGTATGAAGAATACTAAAGATAACGTTTGGATGACACCATGGGAAGATGTGCTGTTGTATTCTACAAAGTTATGGTAGGGAAGAAAAATGTTTCTAAACCAGACAACAAAATTAAGGCTAAACCAGACAAATGTTTCAGCAGGTGCTTCAAGTACTCAGAACCAAAACTGTGTTAAAACTACACCAAAAGCCCTCCAAACCCACCACCTCCTCTTATTAAATTAACTACAACAGAGGAATCAAGCAATTGGAAAACATTTGAATGGGCCTTTTGCTTACAATGTGTCCAGGCACACTCCTGTGCTCACATACTGGTTCCTAAGAAATACTTTTTAAAGCACCGACCTGAATTAGGAGCTCTGTCAACTTCAAAGCCTGATGTGAAGCAAGATCAGATGGAAATATTTCAGCCTTCCTGACCCAGGGAGGATCAGTACATCTGTTATCATCACAGCAGTTGAGAATACCACAATAAATAGCAAAAAAATCCATATTAAATTTGCACACTGAATGTTTCCATCTCACATCACATCCAGGCTTTGGAAGTGTCTTTTTCACAACAGACAAACTGCTGAAGTTTCAGATTCTTGCAAGGAAAACCTCTATGTGAGCAGGAAGGACAAAGCCATAGAGATGCAGTTTGGGAATGCTCAGTCCACGCTGCTCTAAGACTCCTTATACAACCTCATGCTACTCTTGCAGTTCTCTGTGCCTCAGTGCTTTGTGCCACTTTCCTCTTGTCAAAGATTTGTGACAAACATCCAAGACTGCCCCTTGGCACTCTGACACTGAGCCATGTCAGAATTCCAAGTAGCAGAAACAAATTTCTGAGTCATAAGAAGCTTAAAAACAAGTACAAAACAGCAAATAAAGACTGTAGAAACTGGTAACATTTAATTAAAAACACCTAACAGTAGATAACGGCAAAACTTTTGTTTCACAGAAAACATATCTGTTGAGTTTAAAAATGCTGTCACTTGACTGAGATCATAAAAAGTAACATTTCACAGATAATCTCCCAGTCTGTTTGGGAAATGACAACTTAATCACAAGCTAAACTTCCAGTAATCTTAAAAAAAAAAAAAAAAAAGAGTTCTAGATGAAGCAAATTATCACCTCCTGAGAAGCTGTGAGTATAGAAATCCTTCCCGTGGCACTAAATAAAGCCACTGAATTGCATCCTGCAAATTGAACCTTCCAGCAGCTTAATTTGAGAGCGAGGCAGATAACCCTAATAAAAAAAATAAATTTATAGCCTGAGATGGAACTTCAAAATTAGTTCATTTAATCATATCGTAACACAGTTTTTATGAAGATGCAATTTGATTTCTGTGCTCTCCTCAGAGTGGCATTTATCTGTGCAATGCTCTCAACACCCATTTCCAAAGCTCTCGGCACACTCGGAGGCAAACAGAGCCAGGAGAGGATTAGTTTCATATGTACAATCATGAAAATGATCCAACTGGAAAGTTTGCTGCCTAACAATTCCTCACACAGATTGTGATGACAAGCACCACTGTTAGCTGCATGACAAAGGGTGTTCAATGGGCTGCTGAGCAAACAGGGTAATAGATGTCCAAATTATTTCTCCCACAGTTGGCACAGTGAACAGGATTCACCCCCTGCAACTCCTCTGACAACAACAGACTCAAATGCTATAAATACTTAAAACATCTAATCACATACAAACCTACATCAACATTAAATTAACTTAGAGGAAAACTGTAATTTAAATTTAAAAATAAATAAATTAACACAGATAAAAAGAAATATTTGACACAAAAACGAAGCTACTGAGGCAACATTTAGAAGGGTCTTTAGAAACTTGAATGCATCAATTGGCTGTAACTCCTCTCCATCCTCATCTCTTGGAGGCTTCCAGACTCCGATTCTCACCTCTCATTGAAATCATCTGAGCTGAGGAAGACTTGGAGATGAGTAAGGCAATGGAACAATAGCCTGTCAGGAATGTTAGAACTGAACCTTAGCTGCAAAGCAGCAACAGCTGCAAACATGCATCTGCATCTGGAAGAGCCTCTGCACCCAAGTACAATCCTAGGCTCCGAGCTGAAGAAGCAACTGCTTAAGCTCAAGTTAAACCTCTCTGCCATGATTTAGATCCTTTACCACTTTTAAAAATTTTCCAAATTCTCAAAAACTAGCACACAATGCCCCTATTTAAACTCTCTATTCATGGCATAAAACCCACAAAAGCAACAACCTTTGCTCTCCAGCTTCCACTTGAACCTGAAATTGCCATTTCTAGGGCTTTAGGCCCCAGCAGATTCTTAAGTTTAATTAAATGGTATTTCAATGATAGATTGCATCACTCCAAAGACTTGGAAACATTAGATAAGGTGAAGAGTCAGAGAAAAACTACTGGGAGTTTACCTGAGAGGCTGTTCCAAAAATAACACACACACACACACACACACTTTGACAGTGACTAAAGCCCTTAAATTGTTCCCCAAAGCCCACCTGCCATAATACCCACAAACCACTCCAGAACAATTAGCCAGTGAGCTTATTCTACCACTTATAAATGACTCAGTACACCCTTACACTCCCCCACAGCTCTGTGTGTGTCTAACCAAAACTCAGACTGGAGAGCTGTTCTGCAGAGCCAATCACCTCTGTGTGTCTGCGAGGATCCAGCACAAGCTCTAGATTCTGTCTTACTACAAAGGAGAACAAGAAGTGTCGGTGTGAAGGCATCGGGGCTTAGACAACCTTTGTTCTGAAAATTTCAGATGAACTGAGGAGGAAGTTCCTCGAGAGGTTTGGACTGAGGATGGAAGAGGCTGGAAGCAGGTCAAGATCCAACTGAAACACTTTGTCGCAGGCAAAGTGTCCAACACCACGAGGCAGCAGTGTGCAGGGGGTTCTGCCTGTCCTCCCCAGAGCAGGTACACATACATCCTCAGAGGAACTCAAGCGTACCAGCAATGAGAGCTGACAAGTACAAGCCATGCCAGGAGTGCTTCATCCTGCTGTTCTCTTCTCCACTGTTTCCTCACCATAAGCCCCACGAGACTGTACTGGAGCAAATGTGGATGGGCAGCAGGGACAGGCTGTAGCAATCATGGCATGTGACAGGGCAGAGACACAACCTCCAGGGCAAAGCAGAGAGATCAGAGGCCAGGGCTGACAGCAGAGCAGAGAGGAGAGGGTGTGTTTGCAGGAGGATCAGGGAGATCTAGAACAACAGTAGACCTGAAACCATTTCACAAAAACAGAGTCTTCACTTCAGCCAAGAGAATTACCCCAGTTCTAAAAAGATCAAATTCCTTTTCCCTAACATTCCTTCATTCTCCCTGTGACTAACAGTACACCCCAGCTCACAGGAGCTCAGGGAATTCCCCAGGCTCACAGCAGACCAACACTCTGATGGGAAGCACATGGAGGGATGGTCAGGGGTGCACAACCTGCTCTCAGACCAGGTGTGGCACAGGGACAGCCCTGCCCCAGGGCCAGGGCGACACAGGACGGTGCAGACTCTAATCCACTGTGACAGGAACACTTGGTTCACTTTCGTTTTCCAAAATGGCATCAGTAAGAGACAAGGCTATTCTTTAGGAAAAAACTCAACAATCTGGGAGCCATGCTGCCTTCTTAACAGCATTACAGTACTCAAAACACTTAATCCAGGCTAGCTTGGACAAGCTGTGGTCAATGAGATTTGGTTCCTCAGATATTGCCTTTGTTTGACCAGTCAGATATGCGTTTGCCAACAGGATTTAGCTCCTGCTATATTTGAACCATCTTTAATCCCATGAAGGCTAAAGAAAAATGTCTCTGATTTAGCTCTGTGCACTTATGAATAACTCAAATACTACAGTTAAATTTACAACATAGTTCCCTTAGCTGTTTAGAAGACAATTGTTTTCTTTCCTTTCCCCTTAAGTTCTAGTATGTAAAATATCAGAAGAATTTAGATTTAAAAAAAAAAAAAGGAGATGTTATTTTTAAAGTTGTTCTTGAGAAAATTTCCACATGCAAACCCGTGGCATTTCTCCACTGATTTGAGAATAATTTTCACATGTTGGCATCATCCTTGAGTGGCTGCCACAACTCTGGTATCATAAAGCAACACGTAGTTTCTCTCAGCTTACCAAAACACATTTTATTTAACTGCTAAATTTGGTCTGATCCAAGTTTTTCTTCTTCCTTCACAACAAACAGGAAAACGCAGATGCCATACTGATCCAAACATGTATCCTACCAGGGAACAGGGCATGGAAGCCAGACCAGCCCTAAGCACACGACTGCTCAGATCACATCGCTGCACTCACGGCTCAGCAACGCTGAGTTCACACTAAAACCTTCACATTGTTCACTCCTGTTCTACACGTCCTATCTGGGTAGCACTGACAAACAAATTGTTTGGCCCCTTCTGTTCTGATGCTGGAACATTGTGTCAATATACTTTGGCATATATTAAAAAAATCCCTGTAATATACCATAGACTGTGACATTTCCACTTCAGCTCTATCATTTACATGTGAAGCACGAATCTCCAAAGAGCCCAGGAAAGCTGTAAGAAAGACTACATTTTGCCGAAGCTCTCAGACACCCACTCCATTCAGTCACACCAGCTGGAGAGGTAAGTGTCAAGATACAGCTTTATTCTCTAAAATGAATATGGAGGTGAAACTCCACAGCCTCCTCCACAGCAATCGTTTCTTAAAGTGAAACCACAATGATATGTGCTCCTGATTCTTCTACGTCAGCAGCATTGCTCAGAAACCTTTTTGCAAATCCGGACATCTTAAAATCACATCTAACCTATTTTGCGATCTACGGAATTGTCCCTGCACTTCCCAGTCCAGCTGACGGGCGTCCTAGACATGACATCCATTGGAAGATCTTTTGCTCCTAGATGTAGAGGAGTCCTTAGCTACCCTCTGTCTAGCGCACGAGGCACAGATAGCCCCCGAGAGACGCTTAAGCCCCTTCTGAAAGACACTGTTGGAGAGACTGTAAATGACACAGTTGCAGAAACTGTTGCTAATGGCAAGCCAAGTGGTCAAGAAGGATGCAACACGGTTACTATAGACATTGGAGCTCTCCAGCAGGAAATAGATTATGTAGGGCAACCAGAGGATGTAGAAGACACTGGTGATGCGGAAAAGGACCATGGCATAGCGCTTGTCCGGGCAGGGCTGTGCCTCCCCAGCCTCCCCGTCCTGGGAGCTGAAGCGCACTCGCCGCTCGTTGATCTCCTTGGTGTGCTGCTGGCAGATGCGGAAGATGTTGAAGTAAGTGAAGCAGACGATGAAAGCGGCTGGGGCGTACAGCATCACCACGATGAAGAGGGTAAAATAGGGATCGGTGTTCCAGGAATTGGCACACCACTGAAACACGTCCCCGTGGTATCCAGGCTTTCCCCAGTGAAAGGAGGGTAGGAAGACCAGGCAGGAGTAGAGCCAAATGGTCAGTATGCAGATTCGCAGCCTCCACGGGGTAACCAGCGTGTTGTAGGTCAGCGGCTTCGTGATGGCGATGTATCTGTCAA